ACAATGATTTAAATAACAAGATATGTTAGAGAAACAAATCATATCCTAGTATATAAAACCTGGAGCCTCTAGTATCAGATTACACAACCCGCTTAGTTACGAGCCGTGCACTGTCTAGACAATAAACGCGTCAGTTGTTATTCACCAAGTAATGTAAGTGACAAGTTATAGAGACATTCTATCAAGTGAAGGAGTGGTAACTCTTTGATGACTAAAGTCATTGACAGAGTACTTTTCAGTTATGCAATGGAACGAGACACGTTTAGAAAAGAGTAGATAATTGGAACACAATTTGGTTGATGGGGTTGTGTTGTGATATACAATATGGATGGGCGTGTGTAAGCAATGAGACATTACGTGAACTAAACCAAGTGTGGCTAGCAAGGCACGGTGAGGGATTAGCTGATGCTCGTGCGTAGGGTATTAGGAACACTTCTTTTGTAGAGATAGATAGGGCCGCTTCATCCCTTTTATATACACATATATGTACACATAGATTCTAATTAATTTAATCTCCACACCTTGCTCTACCCTCAGCTCCTCAGACTATTAAGCTCCAAACTCCAAGACGTCGTAGATAACCTCATAACCATAACAGGTTGTTACAAGCTGCATTTAATCCTAGTAAGAAGTGGAAGGTTAGATGTTTGAGAGAAAAATGACCTCCAACCCTAGTCATCAAGGTTGTAACGGCTGTTAAGCCTAGGGATTCCTGTAGCCTACGCTGGCTAGCGCAGGCAATGAATGCAAGGGAAACTTCGGGAAGGACCTCGGAATACAAGGAGCTTAGAAGATTCTCAATGAACTTTCTGGAAGCATACTGAAGGTTCATGAGGACCACAGGTGTATCAAGAATCTTCTAGGGTATTGTCGAGGATTCCATGTTATTCCAGATATAGGGAGAACCTTACAGAAGAGGAGTATCTCAGAGTGTATATATATTTGTATTCTAGCTATAGGAATTCTCTCTCTAGAGAATTATAATTAATATACTGTACCTACAAGATCGCCCAAGCATGTTGTACTGAAACCGTGACAAAGGTCCAGGCAAGGAATTAGAGCCCATGAAGGTTGAGCGTAAACTCCTCTGAACAGCTAGCCTCAAAATATCCTACCAGGGAGTTCAGATAGCAAGCGTATAGACTTTACCAATGGTTAGGAGATATAATGGGACTGTCAGGCGCAGGTTCACTAGGCGCAAGAATTGAGGCGTAAGGGATGGCGTAGCGTACAATGTACTGAGGATGGACGCCTCGTGGGAGCACAGAGGGCTTTCTAGAAAGGTAATAAAGAAGAACGCAGGGAGTCGTTCTGGATAAAATGGCCGGAGGTGATGTTAGTTCACTATGGTTGGCAGAGGACAAGAGTGAGATGTAATTATAATTATGTAACTATTCCTAAAGACGGAAAACAAAGCGTGAAGATCTCAGTATTTGAAGTGAAAACTAAATAACTCTCCTCACTAGGCAATAAGCCTAGTGGTGCTAAGCAAGGAACCCATAAATCTTGCCTGAGGCATTTCTCCAGAATCCTTACAAGGACCTCTTGTTATGAATCTACTTATTGGCTGATTTTCGAAGCTGTTCAGCTGTTACAGCATGTGGTGAACAAATTGGGATTTGCCGTCTGCTGAATATATCCTAGTAATGACTAGACGAATAAGTACGAGACAACATAGACGGGGAAAGTTAGGGGTGTTAAACTGAACGGGCGAGGCGCAAAGGTTAGTACTGCAGAACGAGAGATCGAGACGAGTAGAAGGATTCTAGAGACTATGAGGATATAAGATTGAGAAGCTGAAGAATCACTTTAGAGTAACTCCAGCTTCCTTGAGTATAACTAATTACATGCTAGATTTAAGTGAGGCTTTGGAAGATTATGTCATGGTAAGCCCCTCCAACTCTAATTGTCAGAGTTTTCCTGGATGTCTTCTCATTGAACCTTCTCCTTAAACCTTTTACTTGAACTTTCTATTGTAATAACGAGGTTATGAGAAGTCTAAGAATTGTCACAATGGGTTTAACAGTCAACTTGGGTGGATGTAGGATAGCACTTTAAGTCTAACGTGAAGAAGACAGATATATATTGTAGATCTGCTATATTGATGACTATTGAAAATAAGAGTGGAAAAGGTTGATCATATACAGAGGTCTAGCAGCGAGTATTTATACACAAAGATAATACATAAAATATACCATCAATAGCAATAACTGCCAACCATTCAGCCATTCAACAACTATGTCATTACATATACCTGCGTCATATTATCATATAATCATGTATGGTTGAGATACTGGTGTTGTCATTGCTGTGTGCCGACAACGTATCATTGACGCGGGGTCGCTTGTCCTGTCGGTTCACTTGCCCAATACAAGCCATTCCAAGTTGTGTGATCTATAAGTGGGCCTGATCACAACACTTTCTCCTTGAACCTTCTTCAAGGATGCCTGGCCATAACATAAGCTGTAGAGGTTAAGTCGATTTTGACAAAGACAAATTATCAAAGGTTACAAATTCATATGTTCAGATTATCATATTATCAGAAAATGAGTGCCAAATAAGCAAATTGTAAAAAACCAAAAAGTTGTTAGAGCTAAAGAACAAATTTAGATTTCCAGCCTGAACAAATCTAAATCCTGTTGCTTCAGACCTAACCATATTGAGAAGATAACCCCTGCATCACCACATTAAGATTACAACTAACAAATTCATAACAACTTCCCTCTAGATTTAGTAAGTCTCTCTTGTTTGTAAAAAATAGACAGTTTTTTAACTTCATACCCTTGCTTCATTGTGTTGTTATAGCCTTTCACAGGGGACTTCTACAAGACCCAACTCATATCACTACTGTGGGATATCAATTCAATCCTGATTTATCTACGCCTTATATTTGCTATGCAGTGTCTCTTATCAAGTTATACAAGTGATCAGAGTTTGTATATTTTAATAATTGTTAGAATTTTGAATAATTCGGGCTATCAAGTAGGCCACGTTGTTGGTACACACGTGACTACAAATCTGTACTTAGTTTCACTTTGATAGTTATTTGAATCAATGTGCTCTACAATCTCAATGACTGAGGGGTCATTATTTCCTTAATAGGTCGTGAGCCCGGAATGTTGCTCATGTAATCACATTGAATCGCCCGGAGTTTGATACTATCTTCCTTATTGGCAAGTAGAAGGGCAGATGCTCTACTTGCGCCAAATTAATCCAACTAGGAGGTTGTTGCCTTCATGTACCCAGGACAAGGCCATCGCCTTTGAGTTGCAAACTCTAAAGAAAAGTGAATGGCCATTGCCTGAGAAGACAGGAGGTTATCGCCTTTGTTAGGGAAAGCACAGGTCGTGTACTGAAGATCGGGGTTGCTGCAAAATCCTCGTGAGGATTGATGATTCCTAAACACAACAGTAGCTAGCCCGCCAGAGGACTCTAAGAGAGAGAGCCCATGAGTCCAATGAGACAACCCGAAAACCCCCCCAAAAAAAGCATAAAACTGGCAGCTACAGTTCAAAAGCTACTCCCAACATTACAATCTGACACCTACTTTACGACAGCTGTCACAATTAGAATTGTTCGACTCTCTTTCGAAGCTTGTTGAATCCCCAACCTGACTTTTGGTACAATGCGGTGTACGCGCATAATAAAAGGCAATAAATAGATTCAATTAAATGATACAATAACATTCACATATATTCATTCTATCTATCTATTCTAATCCTCATGGTGTTGTGTAAGAATGCCAAGAGAATATTACGTAAGTTGCACTACTGCTGCAATGGGTTATTACATATTCCACCTATTACTAGAGTGCACATGACTACTGTTGCAACACTGACAGCTCCTATCAAAAAGCTTGTGCAAAAAAATTTTGCTGCTGATTTCCGACAGCAATTTGAACCTCAACCTAGCAGCTTCGCTTCGAAAGCTGCCATTTACACTCTGAAGACTTTACGAAGGGAAGTCTTCGCTGTTATCTAAGGAAAGGGAACTTTGTCAAGTTATCCGACAACAAAATGTTGTGCTGGCTCGGTTAAGTTGTTAGGAGACAGTGAAACGGAGGATGGGCTGCTGGATTAGGAAAGGGTGGAAAATACAGGCTTATGCACAGACGCTGTTCATGTACTCTACAATCTCTTCACCTGCCGAGTTTAGTGAATTAATCTATCCAAAATAATATCATACTTCATGTTGGAAATGGAGACACAGAGTGTTGTGGACGTATCGGCCCTCCATTTCGTCTAGGTTTCCGACACGATCTTGTGTGTATTTAAGAAGTTGGAGTAGGTAATATGGTAGCGCTTCAGGCTAACTATTGGATATATGAGCGGCTGTATGGCGTGGGCACAAGGAGGTTATTGGGGGTTTTCTATGCCTAGATGATGCCAAACTTGTTTATGCTGTGGCTTAGGCTCTGTGTTACTTACACTTGTCGTTGTAGCGCACATCTCCCATACTTTTAGCTATAATCCAAACATGACACTCTTTCAGTCAACTTTTACTTTCGTTCCATGAATATTGCGCCCATTACATTGCGCGATATTTCCAACACTTCACATCATCCATTAGATGATATTATCAATCATCGGGATCCACATCTAGCATCACCTTCATAGATCACCATTGTCAGTAAGAGTTCACATTTAATACCTACTGACACCCATTTGGCCACAGTGATACGCACTCAGTGTCCATCGTGCCATCACCCAGCGTGAGCGCGCCATCTCTGCAACTCACCATTGCACATGAGCCTGTGCCACTCCACCGATGGACAGCAGAGTCATAATTGCTATATACCTCACAGCTCATAACCACAACACAAAAAGTCTCTACAATAGCCTAAGGCTTCAATTTAACACTCTTTCAATGGCTATATTTGTTTAATTTTATATTGTTGTGGGGGAGATGAGTCAATGAGTAGAAGAACAGTTGATGACAAAAAGACCAAAGTAAGATAAAAAGAAATCCAAGTAGAGCTTGGTGACATTCCAATAGAGCTATCACATGAAACACTCTGAAATAAAAGTCTTTGGAAGGGTTATGCTAGTGGGGCATGTTGCTTGTAGAGGGAAACGAGACAATGGAACACTAGTGAATTGGATGGAATATACACTGGAACAACCATGGCACTGAAACTGGGGGAGAGTATTTGAGAGTTGAGAAAGGCTGACAATAAGACACCAAAATCCTGGGGGAGCCTTTGAAGTTAACAACAATAAACGGAAAGGTCATGTTACAGGCCGTGGCCTGGTTTATCTGGAACCGGAGTTTATCTGGCTACAAATAAGGGTTATACTTATTTTGGGAAAAGCCTCGACTCTACTTAGAAAAGTTTCGCAAGTGGCGCAATGCGCCATGTTTATATCAGCCAAAACCTTTCGTAGCTACAACTTTCTTCTCTAGATAGAAAATAAATTCATTTTTAACATACAATTGCGAGAATCTGGCGTACCGTTCTCTAACAGGTCACTCGGAATAAGCTTAGGACTCTACAGTGTTTGTGGGGGAAAATGAGAGGAGATGAATCAATTCCAAAGGATTCGATCCTTGGATTGATTCATCGGAAATACGAAGACCAGTTTGGGAGCAGACAATTAACCATTCAAGTAAATGTCTAATGAAGCAAAGATACAGGAAGACAAGGAATAAGCCCAATAAGTCTATGGGGGAGTATTAGAATTTAGAATAATTGGGGCTATCAAGTAGGTGTTGGGATATTAAGAAAGTATAGTCACAAGAGTAAGATAATGCAGATGGTAATATGCAATATGTGAGGAATGTATGGATGTAGTACTAAGGGTGTGTAATGATAAAGGTGTTGTGTACTAATGATGTGGACACCTTTTACTTGACCAAATAGCTGTCTAAGCGGCGTTTCCTGACACGCCCCCATGCTGCATTATCCTAGAGCCTCATTAACTTCCACACCACTTAAAAAGTGTGACCCCTACATCCCTTCTTAAAGAGTTCAGTAGTCCTACAGAAAGATGAAACTGCATTGTGGTACAAGAGTACTCTTATCCTGGTCCCATCATAATCTGCGGTGTGAAATTCTGTAGTACTAATATTGCCCATACAATTTGTTCAACGTTTAATGAGATAAGCCTAGCTCAGACGATAGCTTTACAAACTGGTCCCTGGGTAACTGTTTTGTTAATATATCTGCAATCTGTTCAGTACCTGGTGTAAATGTGACCATCAGCCTGTTTTTCATCACCATGTTGTCTCGTATGTAGAAGTGCCTAATTTCAATGTGTTTAGCTCTTCGATGAAATTTGGTGGTTTTGGCAAGCTCTATTGCAGCCTGATTGTCTAGATGTAGAAGCGGAGGTTTTGTTATTTTGATGTTTATTTCATGAGCAATTTTCTCCATACAAGCAATTTATTTGGCCCCTTCACAAGCAGAAATGATCTCTGCTTCCATTGAGCTCTGAGCAGTGCCTTCTGAAAGTTGGTGGACCAAGTTACTGTGCCCCAATTCCATATGTGTTGTGCCTAGACCCACATAGCTACAGTGCACAGCTCCAGTTATGATGGTCACGCGACTGCATGCATTTGCTCTGTTTGCTCCTGCTTTGTTGAGTTAGTATAATTAGTAAGCAATAGTCTAGGGACTATAAGTAGAGAGCTTTCCTCCACAGTAGATAGAGCAAGCAATTCAGTCTTTCCTCATTCTGCAGAGATCATTCTCCACTTCTCTTCTTAACCTATCCGGCCCAGCAGCACATCTGTGATCACTAGCAGCGAACTCCCACAAATTGTATGTACACCCGAATCATAGACCTATCATAACAATATGATTGTTTGCCCTTTGAAGGATTTCTTATCATTTTCGGTATCCCATGTTGCATCTGTCCATACTGCCCAGATATTTGTTGTATCAGGAGATCTGTATTTAATCCCGAGCAACCTTGTACTGTTGAGATATTTGAGTAGATGCTTTGCCATACTTAAATAGTTTCAATTGGGATTAGACAAAAATCGTGCAAGTTGCCCTACAGCATGAGATATGTCTTGCCTCGTACCATTAGAAATATACAGGATAGATCCAACAACTTGTCAATATAGGTAGATGTCATCATCTTTCAGCGTTTGATGGATATCATCTTTGGTAGATGGGCTTAGGACTGTTCCTGCTGGGAGTGGGAGATCCTTAGGTATACTTTTCTCCATTCCAAGTTGCTGAATAAATTTTTTTGTATAGGCAGTTTGATGAATGCGAAGTAAGCGCTTTTGCTTATTTCTTTCCACCTGAATTCCAACAAAAGTGTCAACTGGTCCTAGCGCTTTGCAACTACTTTTACTCATGATATCTGACTTGACAGAATTTAAATTTCCATGTTCCCCAGTGATTAGCATGTCATCTACATAAAGAGGTACAAAGACACCTTTACCTATAAATAAGTTTGGATCAGCATCTCCACTCTTTAAGGAAATTTGATTAAAGTAATCTTTGACTTCTTTGAACCAAGTATGCAGGGCTTGCTTTAAACCATATAGTGATTTGTTAAGTTTGAGGTAATTTTTCTTTTGATTGATTCTAGGGTGTTGTAAAGAAAAGAAATCAGGTATCTCCATATAAATCTCTACTTCTAATTTTGGATTTAGAAAAGCTGTATTGACATCAAGCAATTCAATTTCAAGATCGTCTACTGCAGCCTTTGATAGAAGTATCTGTAGTGTGTTGTACTGTATTACTGTATTACTGATGCAAAAATCTCGAAGTAATTGATACCGTACTGCTGTTCAAATCCACAGAAAATAAAATGTGCTTTTTGTCTGTCTAAGCTGCCATCACTTCTGAACTTCTTTCTAAGAACTATTTTGCTGGATATTATTTTCTTCCCAGTGGGTGGAGACCCAGTCAAAATAGTATATGTGTTGGTGGCTTGCAGAGAGCGCAATTCTGATTTTATTGCCTCTTTCCATAATTTGGGATCTTCATGCATGGCCTGTTCAACAGTGATAAATTCAAATGGAGGAGTGGGCACTTGAATCGGTGATGACTCACTAGCATTAATATGGACTGCTTGTTCAGATATAGCATTTGCTGTAACAACATGGTTGTACACAGCCTTCTCCACTCTTCTCAGCAGTCTACCAAATCTTGATTCTGGCAGGGAGCAAGGAGTCTGCCCAATCAATGGTTCGATGGCTTCTCGGATAATCTGAGGAGTACTTTCATTGAAGTTCATTCGCCCTCCTAGATATTCTTGCTCTACTACACTCATGGTAGCCTCTTCCACTACTGCAGTAGGATGACTGGCCTTGACCATGGGTTTGCGTGAGAGCTTCCTTCATGTCTTATTACGGGAGTCTGTAACTCTACCAAATCTACGTAGGCCTCTTGCTCTTCCATTCTGATGGGAGCCTTCTGTATATAGCGTTGATCAAACGCATCTCCAGCCTCTCGCAGGCGAGTTACAAGATTTTGCAATTCAGAGTCATTTTCGCCCGAACTCATTGCCTCAATTGGTCGAATTGCAGCGTACTTCTTACGCACTTGCTTAACACCTTTCTGCCTAGCTTCTATCAGCTGCGGCTGGTACATCTTTGTTCGCTCTAAAGGTACTTGTCTTGGTGTTAGGACATCTGGTCTATCAGGTAGAGCAAAGAGTGAGGTGTCAATTTTAGGGAATTCATATTCATTGAACTCAACATCTGCAGAGATTGTGTCAATTAGGGAAATTGTATCAAGTAACTTCCAATATCTTGTTGAAGTCATTCCTATCATGATGAATTTTCCTCTCCAATGTGAGTCTACCATTTCTGAGGAATTAACTCGCAAGGGTAAATCAGATCTGCTTTGCACCCGAAAACTCTGATGTTGGTTAGATCTGCAGGCTTTCCATGATAAGCGCTGTAGGGAGTGAATTTTTCTGGGGTGTCATTATCAGCAAAAGGTAGCGCGGATGTGGGAGCCCTGTTCTTGATCCAAGCTGCATGCTCGACAGCGTAATCCCAGAGCTGATGAGGTAGCTGTGCCTCATATAACATAGACCTTGCTATGACTGCTATAATACCCATCCATCTTTCAATAACTCCGTTCATTGAGTGTTTATATGGTGGGCTTGGTTCAAATTTTATACCTACTTCTTTCAAGTAGAGTTGAAGGGCAGTACCAAGTTCACAGCTACTGTTGTCAGCCCTCATGTAGAAAATTTTATTGCTAGATTGCAATTTAGCTTCGGCCTTTATTTGCTTGAATGTGACTAGAGCCTCGTTCATTTCCTTCGTTCTTAGTAACCTGACCCAGCACATCCTTGTTGCATCATCTACCATGAGGAAGTAGAACTGATATCCTCTTCCCCAAACTGAGATGGACTGGATTCCTGAGATATTGCAGTAAACTTGACGAAGGATGGTGCTTGAACAATTGTCAGATTTCTTATTGAAGTTTTCCTTTATCTTTCCTGCTAAACATGCTTTGCAAGAATTTGATCCAATCGGAATTGATCTTTTCTTGTTAGGAGGGTTTAGTCTAGTGAGTCCTGTTATCAGAACCTTGTCAATATCTTTGATGTTAATATGGCCCATTCTTCTATGCAAAATGTCCCATTCAGTCTCTGTTTGGTGTGGCATTTGTTGCTGAACTTCTGTGGCTGATGTTGCTTGAGGTATTGATTTTGTTTTAACTTTGAAGACACCATCCTCTCCTTCTGCTTCAAACAAGATTGAGCCGTTTCGTGTTATTTGACAATGGCCATCAGCAAACTTTACATCAATGCCCCTCTTATTGAAGGCCCAGATAGACAGAAGCTGCATTTGACCAAACTCAGGAATAAACCAGACTTCTCTTAGTTCAATTATTTTATCACTAGTCTTAAAAAATATATTGCCATAGCCTTTGCATTGAATAACTTTTCCATCTGCAATTTGTACAGACTTTAGACTGATCCACCTTTTAAGCGTAGAGAAATCATCTCTCATACCACTGAAATGTTCTGACGCTCCGGAGTCAATTATTTTGAGAATTTCTCTGGGCTTGGTAAGTATTGCATGTTTTGTGACAGTTGGGAAAGCTGTTGCATTAGAATTCAGTGGCCGTATAAATTTAAGGAGTTTATGAATTCCGCTGGAGATTAAGCTCTGTATATTTTTGGAGTTTGTTTTATATTGTCAGACTTTACTTTTACTTGATTTTGTTTTGAGTAGGGCCAGACTTTTATCCAGATTTTGCTCTGAGCAAGCTATATGACTGTGTTCAAGATAATAA